TAAGCAGAATGTCTTTATATAAAACATTAGTCTGGTTATGAATTTAGTATGAGAGAGTTAACGGTCGATATCGGATATATTTTTCTAATGAAGAGGAAATCGTGGATCTTTCCCTTAAACAAGTATGCACTTTTAAATTAACCTAAGTGGCAGATGAAGTTAAATTTTAAACTTAAAACTATTTGTTTTTCAAAGAAAGCAGGAACTACAAGAACTTTTCAGCTTGAAAATTAGCAACTGTATATCTATTTTTAAATTTTTCTTACCATAGGAAGTTATTATTGACTAATATCATTGGCTGGCTATTAATGATGTTAGATTATATAGGATAAGAAGAATTTATCACCTCCTAAAATATTATTATAATTTTATGATATATTTCCTTTGAGTAAAAGAAATGTGTTAAATTTTAGCAGGAATAAAATAAAGTTAAAAAAAAGCAAATTTAAAAGGGAGAGTTTTCAAATGAAAGATTAAGATTAAAGTGATTAAAATTAAATTTTTTCCTTAACCACTTGCACTAAAAAGAAGTGCCAGGCACGTCAAGATGCTTTTGTCTCAAACCGTGCACAAAATAACATTGTGCACACTTCACCTAACAATGAGATTGTTTATTTCTTGAATTCCAGCTCTGGATTGTACTCGCAGACGCGGAGCGGCGTAAATGAGACACTTTACCGCTTGTTATATTGTAGCGCACGGCACCACAACCGTGAAGTTTAGCCGTAGTGCAAGTGGTTAAACAGACACATCCACAAACTAATTTTAAAGTATATCACAAAAATGTAAAGGCAGATAGAGAAGATTGAAATAAGCAGATTTTGTAATGGAAAGTATGTACAGAAATGGCATGTTGAAGCAGTACAAGGCGCTGTTGAACGGTAGGTAAAAACATTCATGTTGCATAAATCGTAAATCTCAGTGCGAATTTTGAATGAGTGATTTATTTCGATTATAGATAATTTTTATAGTTAATATTATAGCTAATATTGCATATAGAAGAACAGATAGTTAATCACTAACTTCAAAACTCTTTTTTTTTTTTTTTAAATTAGTCTAATTCATATTTTTTTTGAGTGGATAATATCAATCCGTTGTAATCTTCTTTGGCGAATGAAGCAACTCCAATGATGGAACACAGCAATAACTTTTATTTAACACTCAAAAAAAATGGCGACATACAAACAAGAAGAGAAAACATATTCTAACATTTAAAAATAAATTACATTCTTCGTGCGAGAGTCGCACGAGGCACTCGAGTCTGGTTTCAAATATTGCCATTCACAAATACCTTAATGTTCATCTATTTAAATTATTTAAACTACAAGATTTTAATATTATTTAAAGCTGTTACAACCTCTCCCCCAACGGAGAGACTTTTACCGAAGGGAAAAGTTCTGTAAATTTCGAAAGTTTATAAGCTCGGCTTGCTCAATTGCTTAAAGAGAAAAGATAACTTCTCTCATAAGTTTCCAAATTTTCAGGCCGAAAATTTTAAGTTTTAAACAAATATTTTTACACCACATTTAAATAGGAAGAAAATGGACAGTGTTCAAATTAGTCTTCTTTTTTTTTTTTTTTTTTCTTGACGGCGCCTAGATCTCTTCCATGGTGGACCAGTTCCTCGGCTATAATTCACAGCAAAGCCTTTCCTCAGTTCATCTGTGCCTTTCGGATAATATTCATTTGTCATTTGCTTTCGACAATTGTTTTCTTCGTCTATTAGTAGCGGCTTTGATATTAAATCAAAAGCCGAAAGATGATGATAACGCTGCATTGCAAAATGATTCTCAATATTAATTTCTTTATCGTTTTTCAAATTTTCGTGAACATCTTCCACGTTTAATTCTGGTGATTTAACTTGATTTTAGACTTCTTATCAACACTTCTGAATGCTCTTAAATTATCTTCTCTTGGATGCTTTATTTTCTTCCTTCGTCGGTTCCAAGATCTTCTCTTCAGCTATTTTCTTTCCTTTGAGCTCTAGTAGAGACAGCATTAAAATGGTATCACTAAGTTTACGTTCAAGTGATAAACTAATAAAATAAGGCAGTTCAGTGTTAACAGGAAGTAATAACCTGATATCACTAATATTACGTTCAGTGATGAACTAATAAAATAAGGCAATTCAATATTAACAGGAAGTAATAACCTGGTATCACTAATATTATGTTCAGTGATGAACTAATAAAATAAGACAATTCAATATCAACAGGAAGTTACGTTCAGTGATGAACTAATAAAATAAGGCAATTCAATATCAACAGGAAGTAATAACCTGGTATCACTAATATTGCGTTCAGTGATGAACTAATAAAATAAAGCAATTCAATATTAACAGGAAGTAATAATCTGGTATCACTAATATTATGTTCAGTGATGAACTAATGAAATAAAAATACGCACGATTATTCGATCTCGGTCGGTGCCTCCAAAATAATTAAGACTGTAATACTTCTTTGGCGAAATGAAGCAACTCCAATGATGGAACACAGCAATAACTTTTATTTAACACTAAAAAAAAAAAATGGCGACATACAAACATGAAGAGAAAACATATTCTAACATTTAAAAATAAATTACATTCTTCGTGCGAGAGTCGCACGAGGCACTCGAGTCTGGTTTCAAATATTGTCATTCACAAATACCTTAATATTCATCTATTTAAATTATTTAAACTACAAAATTTTAATATTATTTAAAGCTGTTACACCATCTTATAGCTTAAATAGGTGTTTCCTAATTTGTATGTAAACTTTTCTTTGGTGATAATAATGAGGAAAAAATTATTCAAAACATCTATCTGTCTTTCCCAAAAAATAAAATGAATTGTACACTTGTTGTAACTCCCCTTGCCCCCTCCACATGGAGGGAAAACAGTCTTTAATTTTTGTTACATGTAACTTTGGCATTCACTACAGACTGCAAAAAGAGTCATGTGCATGCATTAAATTCAATAAACATCTTAGCAATTCTCAATTATTTTTACGGAGCATACTAATTTCATTGGGATGCCTTTGGTTACATAAATGGTCTAATTATATACCAAAAGTTCTGCGACTATTCTCTTATTTAAGCTCAGTTTTTATTTAAAGTCACCACAGCCTATAAAACAGGCATGAATTTTTAGATTATTAAATAATAAATCGAAAAATGTCCTAACTGCTGCATGGGCCCTATGTCTTAGGAGGATGCAAATCTTGCTGCAACTCCTCATAACTCTTTCTTTGTTTCTGTATGAAAAGAGGGCTTGAAGAACAATAGCTGACATTTGTTCTGAATGACATTAAGCAATACCTAAGATGTCTTATGCGTTACTCCAACTCTGGTTACAGATAGAAATAAGATGCAAAAATTTTCGTATATCCATCTTTCTTGTATTTATAGCCTCAAAAAGTCAATATATCCGCTAGCTAGTATGAATCACAAAAGTTTAAAATAAGAACAAAGAACACCAAATAAATTTTCCCTCAGCAGAAAATAACTGACTATGCAGGGACAAAATCATTAAGTACAAATGTTGGAAGGGTCAATGATTTGCATGGCTCATATGACCCTTTTTTTAAACTCTGATTGGTTGCCGTAAAGCTTTGAACCCCATGTGCAAATTTCGACTCGTAAGTGGTTCCCTCCTCCCAGCTCTGAAGCATGTAGATAGGATGTAGTTTATTCTTACCTCCATGCTCTGAAGCATTTGTGAGGTCATTTTGAGGGGAGGGGACCTAAAAAAACAGAGAAAACTTTTCGCTAACTTATTGGTTGAAATTAAAAAAAAAAAAAAAAAAAAAAAAAAAAAAAAAAAAAAAAAGAGCAGCATTCATTTAGTGAGATGCAAGTGCACCTCCTTGCACCCCCTTGGCTACACTTATGGGTACCTAATAGTGGGTTGATCCCTCTCAAGCTCTGGAGTAGTAGCTCTCTGAGTAGGGAATCATCCATAAAAATTTTGTGGTATAAATAATAACAGTATTTTATTGAGTAGTGCTGGATTCATGGCTAATAGGTTCAGATCCCTTTTATCCACAGATGCTCTAAAAAATCATGTATGGGGGTCATGGGAGTCAGATAAAGGAATATTTCTCATTCCTCCTCCTGGTAATCAAAAACTGGAAACTGGATGCATTATATATTATGTATTGAAATATCTCTTCATAACCTGGATGTGTCTGTTTCAAGTGTGGAGGTATGCAAATAATCTGCAAGATTGGTCTGTGTGACTCATGCTTATCCACAGTTGGTTAAATGGAATAGATAGCTTACTGCAAACCATATGAATGCTGAATATATTACAGCATTCATATGGTTTGCAGAGCTTCTCTGGCATGAAAGTTGTTTTGGAGAAACAAAGGTTCCATGGCTTTATGCAAGGTATTTCATATTCTTTGGATCATAACCAGTCACTGAATATCATAACAACATATACATAATGGATCCAAGAGAATCATTGCATTTAAACTGCTGTAAAAAATTAGGATAATGCAGAAATTTATTAGATGGAATAATTTATGTCAAAGATTTAATGTCTTTTCTTTCCCTAAATTTTAAATATTTCTTTCGAATTTTGATAAAAAGACGGGAGCATTGACTGCTTCAATTATGCTGTATAAATAGGCATACTTTATCTGCATAAGGAAGGGCAAATCCATATTTATATTTCAATATAACATAGAACTAAGAATTTTTTTTTATTTCTAGTAAAGTGCAAATTAATGTTGAACTTTCTCTGGGGGGGAATATAACTTCTTCCATAAATTTTAGAGGTTTTTTAATATTCCAGGTGAAGCTTTTAAATTTGTGTGCATACTTTAATATAGCATAATTATCATTAAACAGTTATTTAATTTTTTAGACATTTTATCTTTTGCTTAGAATCACTATGAATTTATTAACTTATATAAGATTCAAATTATATTTATGCTGTTATATTAAATTCACATATTTTGGTAAAAGTCTTAATTTTTATTGATGATCGTATTAAATTAAATAGATTTAATTAATTAAGTCTATATTTTTACTTTTATAGGTAGAAATGGAAAACCTAACAATTATGAAAAAGTATTGTGCCAAAGAAGTGGGGCTGAAAGCAAATATATGCAGCAATATCAACCCAATGCTCAAAAGTTTCTCCCTGACAAAAATGAATTTCCATCTCTAACCGAAATTTCACAGAAAAATGATTTTAAAGAAAAATTTCATAATGTTCCTGGAAAAAATTGTAATTATAATAAAACAAATTTCTCGTATTCAGATAAGTTAAAAGTGCCACTGGAAAAGAACAGATGTGTTGATAACTTTTATGTCAACAAATGTGGAAATGTACAAAATCATACTATTGAAAGGAAAACACTTGGCATGTCTTCCCAGCATGTTGCTTTGCATAACAGTCATTCAATTGTGATAAATAAAAGAGCTGTTGGAAAGGGTGAGTTACAAAATCCTTTTAAAAGCAATTACAGTTTTAGTGAAACTAACAGTAGTGTAAAAACACCACACTTTGTAAAAAAGAATAATGTCAGATTTGATGCATCAGGATCAGATAATTATAAAAGTACTCAAAGTAATGCAGCTCTTTCAGAAAATCAAGTCAATAATTGTACTAGAGATAATGCTAGAGTTAAAATAAATTACGAGTATAAATCCTTTCAAGATAAAACAAAAACTCAAAGTACTGCTAAAAATTCCAGTATTGAAAATGATAATTCAGTATCAAACTCTGAGCCTAACACTAAAAAGAAGAAGAAAAAGAGAAAACCTAAAGTTAAAAAACTACAACCTCTGCAAACAGGTAAAATTACTATTCTTAGTGCTGAAACACTTTCAAAAATTCGTAATCAATCCAGTGTGCAATCAACATTCAATTCATGCAAGATTCAAAACGCTAAGACAAACATAAATGATTCTGAGGAATATCCTGAGCTAGGAACAGCTCTTATACATAAATCTAATAAAGAAAATGTTTCATCAAGTTCTGCCAGTAAAAGTAATGAACAAGAAATGGTAAGTTTCTCCTCATTTTTTATTAAATCTTGCAAAAATGAAATTATAAATAAAATATTTAAATAATACTGATTAAAATTTATTTTATTAATGTTGTAGCTATTTAGGACAATTTAACTAATAAGCTTAAGTCACTACATACTCTGATATCATTTGTAAGCATATTTCATTAAAAGTGTAATTCTTCCTATGATAATGAAATATGTATGTGGAGGAAATATAATGAAAAAAATATGTATTGCAGGTTTCTTTCATGAAGTACAAAATTATGTTTGAAATATGATTATACAATTACCTCAATGTAAATAAAATCGTAATATTTCAAACTTTTTTTTTTTCTTTTCCACTAGCTTATTCTTTAAAAGTTTTTAACTTTGTCTTTTGTTTTTAAAGTGCAAGACAATTAAGAATGAATAAGCTTTGCTTACATATATATATATATATATATATATATGTATATTCATGTAAAATATAAAAAATATGATGGCTATGCTCTATGCAAACAGGCAACCTCTAATTAACTTTCCACAATTTCAGGATCTTCTCCCTAGACCAGTACTTTTGAGAACATTCTGGCATGTTATGTAATCGTTACTATAAATGCGGAGTTCGTGCTTCCTGCCATCGCTGCCGTAAGACAATGCGTTGCTCTGTCCCTTCTTCTTACCTTTGTTAGAATAGTTATGATGTCAAAAGCCTAAATTTAACCTTATTTTAATTTAAATCATTATTGGATATGTAATTTTGGAGAATCTAAATTAATAATGATCTGCCATTTTAAGTGAATAAGGATATGGAGTTTTTAAAAGTGAAATTCTTCTGTGTCTTCAATTCGGTTGCCTTTCACTTTGCAACGACCACACCCAGACTCTGATGTGACCAGATTGCTAAGCTTCATCATTTCCAATGTGCATCTACTGCAAATATCACATGCATACATTAACATATGCATCCATCCATCCATCCAAACAAACATTTCTGTGTCTGGTCCTGATAACAGAACAGTACTGCAGTGGTTGAATACTTTTTCAAAAGCAGTGAATTTTACATACTAAATGAAAGTAAAAAATGGCTACTTATTCATTAGGAGGTAAAGTATTTGGAGATACAAGTGGAAATACTGCACAGGGGGCTCCTTGTTGATTTCGTTTTTCCAGCATTCATTTTCATGCTCCTTTGTACTTCATATACAGTACAAAGTCTTTAATCCGGACTCATTGGGACTTCGGCGATTCCGGATTAGGGGTTTTTCCGGATTATAGATCATCAATTTAAATCTGGTAAGATGGCATGCAGAAATTATAAAATTAAAAATATGAAACCATAATTTATGAAATAAAGAGCAATTATGATCTAAAGGGTATCAAAATTTTAAAAAAAAAAAGCTTAATATTTATTTGTTTACTTTATTAAACATTTCTTTCAATGTAAGTTGTTTAAGTTGCTTTCGTTTTATGTGCTAATACTTTCTCTTTAATTCTATAAACAGACATAATTTCTTGTTCAGTTACAAAGTTCCACTGTTCAAGTCCTGTAATTGCTGTGCCGAGAATACCGACTAACTTGTCTATCAAAATTTTTTCATTTTCACTAACCTCTCTGTCACTTTCTTCATGCCTTTATCCATTTTTTTGCAGCAACTCTACTTTTTGTTTGATGGACATCGAAACATGGTTTTCCTTTGTAGATCCTTTGGCTGCTCTAGAATTGGAAACTCTTTTTGACATAATCGAAAGTTCAAGCTTACTTTTTATAAAATTGCTCTAACAGTCTGCAAAAAATAATAAGCCAGATCTAATTAGAAGATTAAGGAACAACGCAACCTGCAACATTAACTGAAATAGATAATTTTAGCCTAGCTTATACCGTTCGTTATACATTAAACGCGCTGCATCTTTGAGGTCCAGATTATAGATCATTCCGGATTATGGATGTCCAGATTAAAGACTTTGTACTATATTATTTGGCTGATGTTGATCTTCCATCAGATGGTACAATGCACAGTTAGATGTGGATGGAAATTAGACAATATTAAATTTTGATTCTGTAAAAGCAGTGGTAGATAAATTGGTCTTCACAAAGATAAATAGTTATCTCCCCCAAATATTGAAATTTTCCATTTTTCTAGTTTTCTCCAAATTAATTTTAAATGTCACCAACTTTTGCCGAAGTGCTTGCAGTGGCTGCTGTAACAAAATACTAAATGAGATGCTAAATAAAAATGCATAAAAGAAATGCATCAGTTACAAATTGACTTGAATTTACTTTTACAATTTACCTTTCTCCTGTTCTTGCTGCTACATGATGGTTCTAGTTTTGTAAACCAGAATGCACTTTGTTTTGCTTGAAGACTGTGTGATTATATAGATGATGATCTAATTGGAATAGCTGGTACTTTGTCTTGATAGTTGCCTTTCTCTTGCTATTAGATTGTGTAAAAATGTATGTGCTTCTATGGCTGAAGCAACACACTGGTACACCTCTCAATATCATTTCTCACTAGGAAGTGTGAAACTTTACAAGCAGTGTGAAACTTTTCATTCTTTTTTAACAGAAAGTATTTTTGGCTGAATGTCTATAATACTTTTCTTTTAATTCATCAAACTGCAAAATAGCACTAAATGTGATCATCAAACAAACAAACAAATAAAATGTCAAATACAGTTTTGATGATTTTTATTATTCAACAGTAATTTTCAAATAAAATATTTGGCTACTTCCTCAGATGGCATTGCTAATGATAAAATTACCTTTCATCTTTATTTTTGAATTCCAACTTCATCATTTATTCATTTTTTATTGCTGATTTTTCTAGGATCTGAGAAATTTAATTTTAAAGCACATTTTGTTCTTACAAACTTTCAAGAACTGTTCTGAGTCCTCATCTCAGATTCTACAGAATTCTTTGTAAAGTAGAGGCAGAGATTTTTTCATGCATTATATGAACTGCTTTAAGACGTTATCTCATGCCATAAAGCATCATTTTTTATAATAATAATTAAATGATAAAATTATTTCAAAACTTCTTTATTGTCGATTCTTTTACAGTTTTGGCTGTTTCCTTAGTGGCAACTTGGAAAATTTTGAAAATAAAATTATTCTTTCTCCCAAAAAACAGTTTAATAACCCAGAAACTTGTAAACATACGATTGTCAGTATTTATGATTTATGGCATTCAATTTTAGAGTTAAAAGGTACTTATTTAAAATCTACTACTTGCTCTTTTTTAGCCTTAAGATATTTTGTAAATAGTATTTATTTAAAATTATTAAGAAATTGCAGACTAATAAAAATATTTATCTATTGTATCTATACTTTGTAATATTCATATTATTTATGTAAGAAATACTATCATTGTCTGATGCCAAGCAATTAGAAATTGTTTTTATTTTAGTTTTATTCTCTTCTTTTTAGAAATTAAAGAAAAAAAAAATAAATGTAATTAAAATATAAGTTGGAAGTTTAAAATTATATAGCTGGAATTTTATTTATGATATTTCTTCTTAATATTTTTAAATTTGAATGGATAACATTATACAGCTATAATATTCTTATTTATAATTATAATGCAGAAATATTTCTTATTCATTTTTAATTGCTGTTATTAGGCCACTGAAAGCTCTGTAATTCCCAAGTTACCCAACAGTTTTACTGGGGAACAAGTCACAGATGTTGTGAGAAGTAAGTAATGAAATAAATTTCTATTTCTATGGATTGAGTTGTGTATGTATATATATGTGTGTGTGTAATATTGTAATGTTCAATACAAAATAATTTTATTCTAGAGAGTCAATGTAAAAATCTTGTTTGCTAATCAAAAATCTTTAAAAAAAAATTAAAAACAGATGACGTTCTTAGTTTCAAATTGCAGTTTTATATATTTAGATAGTATATCATCCTTTTTTTAAAACAATTTTTTTAAAGGAACTCACATCTGTAAATATAATAATAAAGAAGAAATATTTTAGTTCAACTTACGATAAGTTGCAAGGAATTTTATTTGTGTTTCTCCCTCCCCCCCCCGTTATTTTTAATATAAAGAGTTCTTAAAAACAACATTACCCTTTTAGAACCAGTAGTTCATATGGATGATTAAGAGTAACTAAGTAAATGTTAATTATTCAGTACTGCCTTATTACAGTGAATCAACAAAGACATCTTGCCATGTGTTCTTATACCTCGCTAAAAATATTACTCTCAGTTGATTAGTGATTAAATTTTGGGGGCTGTTGTGATAAGATGGTACCAATTATTCTGCAGCTAATATTATATTAATTAAACTGTAGATTATTTATGTAGAACTTTTAAATCATTGGTAATAAATAGCTAAACACATTTAAATATTCAGAAGCAGTGATGTGTTCTTAGCAGTTCAGTTACATTTGGAATTATGTTGTTGTGTCTTATCTCACTTGTTTGACAGTAACATCAGAAAAGCCCATGAAATTCATCATGGCAAGGATTGCAAGATTGTGTCTGTCGTTGGCAAAAGCCTTGAGCAGCATACAAGTGACAATACAACTTTTCTCAATTCTGCCCCCAGTTTTGATTGGGAGCAGCCCGGAGGGACAGGTCTCCCACCCCTCTTCCCCTATCACCAACCTCTTGAGGGAACTTTCAGCTCGCTGCATATTTAGAGTGCCCCCATGCCACACAGACACTATACATTTACAAATATCCATGTCTTCTCTGGGATTTAAACCCAGACCCTTTAGTATGGCTAACCACTATTCCAAATGGGTGGCCAGTTTAGCAATTATCTTTTTCTCCTCCTACCATTTTGAAATTTTAGCTAACATTTGTATCATTGTAAATTTTAAATGGGAAAACTATGAAAACTCTAGTGGCAAAATTTACAACACATGTCAGATATAAAGAAACTAAAATTTGGAATAAGTACAGAGTGTTTACATATTTTTAAAACTATGTTGACAAAAAATTAGCAAATGTTTTGAACAAAAAATTTCTGGCAACATCTTCTAATTTGAAGTGAGAAATATCATCCACTATTAAATTTTTCCTTTTTCTGAAATGCTGCATGTAAATAAGCTGTGGATTGAAGGATATTTTTTACACATTCCAAAGAGAAGTAAATATTCCTATTCCATAATTCTGCATCTAATATTTACAGAAGAAATTCTGTTTCATTTTCCCAATGACTTTCAAAGAGTGAAACTTCATCAAGACAAAGCAACAATCCGTACTTCGTAAAGTACCACTGCATTAATAAGAAAATAACAAATAATATATATGTGTCTCTTGTTTTAATATAAAGGTTAAACAAAGAAATTAAGTTTGTTGATCTAAAAATATTACATGAGAAATCACTGGGGGAAAAATTAAGGACCAGATAAAACATCAAATTAACTTAGCTCTCTTATATAGCATATAGCTTATTAAACTGTTTTTTGTTGATTTTTATATTCACAGAAGGCTTTGTAAGATTCATAAATAAAATTATTTACTTAGATGGTGTTTGTATTAATTTTTATTGATTTTAATTGCAAATGAGTCAAATTATATTTAGTTCTAAAAGTATTAGTGTAACACAAAGATATTAATGAAAAAAAAAAGGTGTATATGGTTTCTTCTCTCTGACACTTTTTTAATCTAACTGCTAAAAATTATTTAAAAATATAAGATAGTTTCATTGTTACAGCAATAATGATGATAATACAGTCAAAAGTCATTAATTCGGACACCCATAATCCGGAATGATCTATAATCTGGACCTCAAAGCTACAAACTTTCTGCGCATGCATCGCGTTGAAGCATGCGCATAAGCATTTACGCATGCGCGTAAGACGTTTACACATGTGCGTTTAATGTATAACGGACGGTATAAGCTAAAATTATCTAATTATCTATTTCAGTTAATGTTGCAGATTGCGTTGTTCCTTAATCTTCAAATTGGATCTGGCTTATTATCTTTTGCAGACTGTTAGAGCAATTTTATAAAAGTAAGCTTGAACTTTCGATTATGTCAAATAGAATTTCCGATGCTGGAGCTCCCAAAGGATCTACAAAGTGAAAGTATGTTTCGATGTCCATCAAACAAAAAGTGGAATTGCTGCAAAAAATGGATAAAGGCATATCCTTTGTTTTTCTAACCATTCCGAAATCTGTTTATCAATTTCACGCTGCTCTGCGGCGGGGAGGGAGGGGGGGAACGTCGCGGTGCGCAATGAATTGGAAGTTGATCTGTCAGCACTAGCCTTATCTTCAGGGCAGATGTCTTTATTTTATTTGGCTTATAATTCCTTACTAAATGTAGTATTTCATCTCGATATATTCCGTCTTTGATATGATTTAAATCAAATTCCTCGTCATTATAATTCGCTTCCGATAGTGAAGAAAGTGACACAGAGGTTATTGAAAACGAAAAAATTTCAATTGACAAATTAGTCGGTATTCTCGGCACAGCAATTATAAGACTTGAACAGCGGAACTTTGTAACTGAACAAGAAATTATGTTTGTTTATAGAATTAAAGAGAAAGTATTAGCACATAAAACGAAAGCAACTTAAACAACTTACATTGAAAGAAATGTTTAATAATGTAAACAAATAAATATTAAGCTTTTTTTTTTTTTTTTTTTTGTAAGTTTTGATACCCTTTAGATCATAATTGTTCTTTGTTTCATAAATTACGGTTTCATATTTTTAATTTTATAATTTTTGCGCGCCATCTTACCAGATTTAAACTGATGATCTATAATCCGGAAAAATCGATAATCCGGAATCGCCGAAGTCCCGACGAGTCCGGATTAACGACTTTTGACTGTATAAATGTTTTGCCATTTCCTAATGCTTATTATAATCAAGTTTATTTGTAGTTATACCATTAAACAGTTTTATCTGCAATAGAATTTTAATAATTGGAATATTGTTTCAGCTAACCAAAGTAATAAAGCAAGTGATGACATAGTTCCTGCTAAAAGTCAAGAAAAAATTGCTATACACGTGAACTCCCCCATTACTATATCATTTTTGGATATACGCTTTTAAATACATCTAAGGTATGTGAAGTGTTATTTTGAAGTACTTATTTTATGAAGGTTGCTTAAATGCTGGTTGAATAAAGGTTGCTTATATGCTTAAATTTTTTTAGGATTGCAACTGTATAAATTAAATAATAAAAATGAAGGAAAAATATTACTTATTGTATCCTAAATGTTAGTTTGATAGCACATCATTTATTCTCTTGATCTTACTAATGAAAAACAAAACATAGTATTCTTATAGAAAATGTCACTTCATGCTGATCAAAAATAAATTATCCAACTCAAAAATAAATGTAATGTAAAAAGACAGTTTCAAGATATGCATGTTAATTTTGTTGTTGTTGTTACTAATCCTCGAGTCCAGCTTCTGCTAGATGAGGTCTACGAGTTTATTCACCTTCAAAAAGTCATAAACTAGCATAGGGGACTTAATTAAGTCATTGTAGAACAAACCCAGACACCTAAGGATATGTGCCAGAGAAGCCTGCTCATTGTTGCATTTCGGTAAATCAGGTGTGTCTTTTGACCTCCTTGGAAGGCAAGGCTTCTTAAATGGCCACTAAGAAAGCAGAGGAATGCCGTCTGGGTGCATCTGTCACAGTTCATAGTGAGGGATCCACCAGGGGATTCAACCCGGTACCAAGAGTGTATTGGAGGGACAAGCCAAGTCATTTTATCGGTATGTTTTCTGGCAGAATACAGCTCAAGGTAAGTCAGACAATTGGAAGTAGCCAAAGCCTCCTTGGCACCTTTCTTTGCCAGGACGTCTGCCTCTTCATTTCCCAAATGTCCACATGTGAGGGAATCCACTGAATTTGCACATCACAAGAGGACGAGACTTTGTTTTAATTAATTTTTATTTGTCAATAATAAGTTGTAGGCGACAATTATTATTGGTCATAATAACTACAACTACTTCTACTAGATAATAACTACTACTTTCATTTCACCTATAGTTTCGGTTTAGTTTTTGAAGTGTTGTCATGCCTGAAATCAGTAAGGAGTTAGGGAGTGCTACAATGAATAATAAAGATGTTATATATCAAAAACAAATGATTCTTGCTCTTGCTTTTTGCCTTTTAAATTATTATAAAAAGAACTTTGCCACATTTTTACTATAAATTATATGCTGCAAACAACACAGAAGTTGATACTTTTGGTACAGAAGTTTTAATTCTTGATCTTGGTTTACGCCAAGAATTTCAATTCCCATTTATTGTAGCAAAAATTAGTAAACCCATATTAGGTGCAGATTTTTTAAATAAGTTCAATTTATTGATTGATATAAAGCATAAAAGGCTAATTGATGGTGTGAGGAATCTTGCAGTTTATGGGGACATCGCACCCATCTCTATTAATGAAACTGTAAATACAACGGGCAGCTTATGTAAATATTCTGATTTATTTGCTATGTATCCTCCTAGAATAACAAAACCAAATTTTCTTATTTCTACTGTAAAGCATAATGTGAAACATTATATTATAACTAAAGGGCAACCTGTAAATTGTAAAGCAAGACAATTAGACCCTAAATGGTTGAAAATAGCTAAAAGAGAATTCAAATATATGCTGGACAATAACATCATTAGTCTAGCCAGTTCAGAATGGGCAAGTCCCTTACACATAGTGACAAAGAAAGATGGTTCTTTCCGCCCGTGTGGTGATTACAGAAGACTGAATGAATTAACTGTATCTGATCTTTATCCCATTCCTCGAATTCAAGATTTTCAACATATTTTAACTCATAAAACTATATTTTCTAAAATTGATCTCTTTAAAGCGTATTTTCACATTCCAGTAGCAGACGAAGATAAAGAAAAAAACTGCCATCATCACACCTTTTGGTCTTTACCAATTCAATGTCATGAGTTTTGGTATCAAAAATGCCCCTGCAACCTTTCAGAGGTTCATCAATGAAGATTTTTATGGCCTAGACCTCGTGTTTTCATATTTGGATGATGTGTTGATTGCCTCTTCTTGTGAGGAAGAACATCGTTTACATCTTAAAACAGTTTTCTAGCGTTTAGATAAATATGGTCTCCGAATTAATATTAGCAAATTAGCAAATCAGTTTTGGGAGTACCTGTAATAGACTTTTTAGGCTATCAAATATCTGCTGAAGGTTCAAAACCTCTACCTCAAAAAATTAAAGCTATCATAGAATATCCATTGCCAGAAACTATACACCAATTTCGTTCCTTCTTAGAAATGATCAATTTCTATTGTAATTACATAAAAAATGCCGCAGAAACTCAAGTTCCTCTTCATGAACTTTTGAAAAGATCTACAAAAAAAGATCGACATAAAATACTATGGACCAATGAAGCCAGGAAATGTTTTGAAGAATGTAAACAAGATATTGCTCAAGTAGCGTTGATGGCCTACCCCAATTCGGATTACCCTCTGGCCACTTCTGACAGATGCATCCGATTTGGCTATTGGGTCAGTTATTCAACAAAAAGAACCAAACGGATAGAAGCCTATTGCATTTTTTTCAAAAAAGCTTAATGATGCCCAGAAAAATTATAGCGCTTACGATCGTAAGCTCTTGGGTATATATTTGTCTGTTAAACATTTTAAACATTTACTTGAAGGCCGCGATTTTACTATTTATACGGATCATAAGCCCTTAACATTTGCTTTTAAGCAAAATAATAATAAAGCCTCTCGCAGACAACTAAGACAGCTATAATATATCTCACAATTATCTACGAACCTACGCTATATAAGTGGTCAAAACAATGTGGTTGCAGACAGCCTATCTAGAATTGAGGAAATCGATTCACCTGTTGTTGATTTTGACCTGATAGCAGATGCACAAAATTAATGATGATGAACTGCAACAGTTGAAATTACATTCCAAATCATTGCATATTAAACAGCACCAATTACCATCAGGAAAACTCTTATATTGATATACCTCTATTTCTTATATCAGACCATTCATACCTAAAACTTTTCGGATGAAAATATTTAATGCAATTCATGGTTTAGCTCACCCTGGAATCCAAAGTACTGTAAAAGAGATTACTAAAAGATTCATTTCGCTGGATATAAAAAAAGATGTTAAACAGTGGGCCCAAACTTGTATCAATTGTCAGAAAAATAAAGTAACTAAACATACAGTGTCTCACAAAAGTGATGGGACACTTGTGCTTTACGAAAGGAAACTGTAGTAAAATTAATTAAAAAAACATGCAAAAATTTTTTGTGGGTGTGTTTCATACTTAAATTTAGTAACAATTATTACATAACATACATTTTCTCAAAATATTGAAATAGTAATGTAATAAAAATACAATTGTTTAGAACAGAGCAAAAAATGGCTCACATAAGTGATGGGACACTTACTTTTCCATCAAATATTTATCCAAAAATTTTACTTCTTAAAATGTTTTAATATTTTGTTAGATTTCCTTTTACTTTTAAAACGTGATTTAATCTTCTTGGGATGGATTCAACTAATTTTTTTTGTGATTGCTGGAGTGATTTTACCCCATTCTTCTTGAAGCAATGATTTTAATTGTTGTTTTGAAGAAATGGTATGTTTGCGAATTCTTGATTCCAATTCTTGCCAAATATTCTCTATGGGATTTAAAGTCTGGAGATTGTGGTGGTGTTTTTATTATTTCAGGACAGTTATACAGCAGCCAGAGTCTAACGTTCAAAGCAGTGTGCTTGGGGTCATTGTCCTGGTAGAATTTAAAATCGTTATGAAGGTTTAATTTTCGTGCTGAAGATTTCAAATTTTGAATTAAAATGTCAATATACTTGTCCTGATCCATTATACTGTCAATAAAAACAAGATTACCAACTCCAGCGGACGACATACACCCCCATACTATAACTCCTCCTCCACTATGTTTTACTGTTGGCACCAAGTTCTGTTTGCGAAATTCTTTCCTGGGTTTTCTCTACACCAAGATTCTACCGTCAGAACCAAATATATTAAATTTACCCTCATCAGCAAATATAACTTCATTCCAGTAATCAGACTTCTTATTTATGTCGGATTTTGCGAAAGCCAGTCTGAGTTTTCTATTCTTTTCACTTACAAAGAATTTTTTCCTGGCTGCTCTACCATGATATCCAGCAGATCGAATTATTCTTCTAATAGTCTCAGGATTAACAATTACTCCATATAATGCTTGTAAATCAGCAGCAACTTTAGGAGCACTCATTCTTGGATTTTTTTTAATATTTTGAACAATAATTCGCTTTATTCCATTGGATAGCTTTGATGGTCGGCCAGGTCTTCTTTTATCCTGAATCATATGATTCTTTTTATATCATTTAATGATATTGAAAACTGTTGAATGACTCATATTAACTGTTTCAGCAGTTTCTCTAATAGATTTTTCACGTTCAATATGCAAATTAATAACTAATTTTCGAATTTCAGGCGAAGTTTCTTTTCGTTTAGCATTTATGGCTGCACAGAGCTAAAAAACACAAAAATTCCAAAACAAACTGGAGAGAAAGACTGCAGACGATTTTATAAATTATTGCTAATTGCTTTTGAGTAAAAATAAAAAACCCCAAAAAATATTTTTATTGTAGTACGTAGTAGTATCTAATGGTGTCCCATCACTTATGTGAGCCATTTTTTGCTCCGTTCTAAACAATTCTATTTTTTATTAAATTATTATTTTAATATTTTGAGAAAATGTATGTTATGTAATAATTTTTACTAAATTTAAGTATGAAACACACCCACAAAAAATTTTTACATGTTTAATTTATTTTATTACAGTTTCTTTTGTAAAGCACAAGTGTCCCATCACTTTTGTGAGACACTGTACAAAATCAGAATATTCTCAATATCAAGCACCAGACGAAGATTTAGTGTCATGCACATTGATTTAATTGGGCCTTATTCACCTTCTAATGGATACAGTTATTGTTTGACGTGTATTGATCGGTTTACCTCTTGGATGGAAGTGGTACTACCATTATCAAATATCACAGCAGAAAATATAGCAAGAGCCTTTTATGAACATTGGATAACACGATTTGGTGTACCTTCTTGTGTTATTACTGACAGAGGAACATTCATTTCAGAACTGTTTCGAAATTTGGCTTCGCTATGTGGAGTAAAAGTAAGCCATACAATTTCTTACCATCCTCAGAGTAATGGGAAAATTGAGTGTCTACACCATACTTTAAAAACAGCTATTAGATGTCATAATTCTCTTCATTGGACAGAAACATTACCAACAGTTCTTATGGGTTTGCGAGCTGCTCTGCATGAGGACTGTAAGTATACAATAGCTGAAATGGTTTATGGCAAAACTATTAAATTACCTGGCGAATTTTTTGAAGAATCACACATGCCAATGTCTAATGATAATTTTGTAAGTAATCTTCGAAATCAGATGGCCCTCTTAAAGCCCTATCAATCCAAATCCAAATGTAAACAAAAGATTTGTACTCATGCTCGCATGTGTTTCTGCGGGTTGACAGAGTAAAAAAACATTTGAAGCCCCCATATGAAGGACCCTTTTTGGTACTACAAAGAACCCCAAAATATTTTCTTCTATCAATTAAAAATAAACAAGTTAGTATCTCTGTGGATAAGTTAAAACCAGCTTATGTGTTACAACCTAATGAACTTTTGTCTCCAACTTCAAAAAGTGATCATACATCTGTGCCAAGTCAGAAAATAGAACAACCTAAAAAATCCACACGCTGTGGAAGACCAGTAAAACATCCAGTCCGTTTCAATGACGTTATTGACTCTTCTTGAACTTATAACTCTTTCATATTAATTTAAAACTTAATTATGTTTATCTTTGTGTACATAATTTCAATTTATATGTTTGTATCGGTGTTATTTGTATAGATATTTGTAACTTCTCTCCCACCTTGTTTTCAGAGTAACGTAACTTTGTTACTGGTAGGGGAGTGATGTAGGCAACAATTATTATTGGTCATAATAACTACAACTACTTCTACTAGATAATAACTACTACTTTCACTTCACCTATAGTTTCAGTTTAGTTTTCGAAGTATTGTCATGCCTAAAATCAGTAAGGAGTTAGTGAGTGCTACAACGAATAATAAAGATGTTATATATGAAAAAAAAATGATTCTTGCTTTTGCTTTTTGCCTTTTAAATTATTATAAAAAAGAACTTTGCAAGCAACCACAAAGTTGTATAAGTCATCTTTTTAAGTAAACTGTGATACATGAACTGAGAGAAAGACTAAAAAGAAAACGAAAAGTATAGCAACACTTAACACTGTTGTCATAAATATAAAAAAAGTTATTTTTAAAAACATTTTTGGATTTTGCCATTGAATTTCATGCAGCATAAGTGCGAAGAAAATGATGTTTAATTTTGAAGACTCCCACACAAAAAAAGTTGTATTAACAGGAGTGAGGAAAGGAACCGATTGGTAAACTGTGAGCTCAGTGAGAATATAAAAGACCTTAATGGTGGTTAACCCTCTGTTGCAATCAGATTGTTAAAATCAGATTGTTTTTTCGTTTCTCTCTTACTTGTTTCTTTGTTTGAGTTTTTTTCTGATGAATTTGGGAAGTAAGGGTTATAGTGTATGTTTTAGTCCAGCATGCATATCAAAGAGCATTCTGATGAATGAAGTCTTAATGAAAGTGAAACACACCATCTAAAGCGAGTAGCTATCGCTTTTTAAATTCAGTTCAGTTCTACTGCTTTACATTTTTTAGAATAAAATCATAGCCACATTTCAGGACATCACAGCTTTGCATTTCAAATTGCCATAAAAAGGCAAGATCCTTTAGCAACTATAATTTTATTATTATTATTACTATTTTCAATTCAGTGCATGACAGTCTGTATTATATTCTGTAAAATAAATCACTTCTTAATATTGAGGCAACATATTTTATAACATTATTATTATAACATTAAGTTATAAAAAATGAAAAAAAAAAAAAATCATCTTCAGAACTATCCTCTTCCAGAGACATGAAGATCAGTGTTGCTGAAGCAATAACAGAATTTGAGTGAAGAATTAATTATTAGTTAGTATTCAACAGGCACTTTTTTTCTGTCTTTTTTCTATCTTAAGCTGTATTAGATACAACTGAATTGCCTCTATCAACCTTTGCAAACCTTGAAGTCATCTTAATTTCTGCAGCTCGATCATATTGCCCCCAATTTTATTATTGGTTCAAAATATATAATGAAATTAATCCCTTATCATTAAGAAGTTTTTTTTAAAACCTCTTAATCCATTTAAATAATAAAATTATCAGATGATGGAGATTATTCCAAGAGATAAACTTAGTCAACCTAAAAAGTGACAAACTCTGTAGCCCCAAAATTTCAGTTGAAACTTTCAGCACATGATTCTGTCAGAAGACATGCAAACAAATTGGCATCATAGAAACATCTCATGATGCTGTAAAACAAATAGGATTGCAATAATGAGGCACAAGGGAATGGGATTTTGATCTGTGAGAGACCATTGATCAGAACTTGCAAAAAATAAACCAAACTGCCAGACCTCTTGCTTATAGTGTGAGGCACAGTAATAAGAGAAATCTAGTATTTTAATCAATGTGTATGACCTAAGCAGTGTTGACCTCAGACAGGAGTAAAGAGAAAAATACCAGTTCAATTCCTGCAGAGCAGATCCAAGCAGCTACACAAATTAAAAAACCTTCATCATATTTTTCTGTCTCTTAGTATAGAAGTATGCTGAAATTTTAAGGGAATTATTAAGTGTAATCAAAATAAGAATTCAAAATTAATTTGTACACAAAAACACACAAAATAGTTTGGAGCAAAAAAAGTACTAGTAGTAATTTTTTCGATGTACTATTAAATATGGGATCTTCATACACTTACTTTAACTTTATTCTGATAAATCATAATTTATTTTAAATGGGAATGAATTATATTTAATGTAAGAGTAGGTAAATAACTGATTAATAATTGTGTTGTAAGACAAATCTTTGCAAACATTGAAGCACCCGGAGGATACAAATTTCACATTTCCCTCCTGAACGGTTTATTGAAGAAACCTATTTAAAATGGATTTAGATATAAATAGATGCATAAATTTGTTAATGACAAGAAAAAAATTTTAAAAGGGACTGGAATAGAGTTTTTTTATAAGTAAGATGTATTTCAATTGTTATATACAGTGCATCTTCCTGTAATTTTTTTCTTTCCATTTCAAATCTTTATAACACTGTTGTCTGTTTTATTTTATCCCTCATTCTTTTCTGAGAGTATTTTTGACCAGTTATAAATTTTCTGTAAAGTATATTTTATCATTTTTCAGTCTAAATCAAAAGAAAAAAAGATAGAGGATAGTCCATCAGTTGCCCTGGATCCAAAAAAGGTACTGCTGTTTATTCCCTTATCTTAAATAATTATGTAAGATTTTAAAATACATGATATTATTTGTAATAATACTATATTTTTTGGAATTCTTCATTATTTTATTTTCTTACAGACATGTTTTATTATCTGTTGAAAAGGATAGTTGAAAATATTTTTATTTATTTACTTTTTATAATTTTCTATAATTTTTTTTATTTTTTAATTAGAATACTGGAATTTTAAAGAATGTGCATCAACACTTAATTTACTTGACTCATCGTCTCCTGCTGTCAAAAGAGGAAAAGAGAGAGAGAAACCCAAAACTAAGAAATTAACTCATTTGAAAAAGGTTATATTTTTATTAGTTAAGTTGTTATTTATTAGTTAACTGTCTTAAAAAATACACCTTTTAAATTGGAACTGACAAGAACTGAAATTCTTTAATCATTTTAAACACTCATTTGATGCATAAATTTGTTTGCATTAGATGAAATTTAGCAAACCATGATTATGTATAAAAATGCCCAACCTTTTTTAACTAATTCATTGTTATCTATAATGCATGAATTAGAACTATATAAAGCATGGTCAATTATTAACTAGAATTTTGCCTTCAAGATAATCATTTGGCACCAATCTGGCAGTACCAGACAATCATTTTATATCAAGTGAAAAAAAATGTTAAAAGAGTCTTCATTTTTTATAAATTTATTTTTATTTTTTAAAAAATAGTTCATAATTTCGAGTTTTCATGAAGCGGAAGTTCCATAAAAGGAGATACTATATCTTGCAACATGTTCATGTTTTTCAGTTAAAGGAAATTGATATAAATAATATTAGATGTTTTTAGAATAAAATGCATTTAATTCTTTTTTTAATATTTTACTGTATATATGTTATCTATAATTTTTAACTATCTTATAATCTGCTTTTTAAATGTTGTTTCTTAAATGTTCTAACTATGCATTTGACTTCTAAGTTGTCTGTAAGAAATGTATAAATATAAAATACAAGACAAAACATGTTAGTGATTATTAACATAATGATTCAAGTTTATTACGTGACTGGAAGTTTTAATCATTTAAGATTATTTTTCATGAAGAGAAGATTTCTCATGCCTGCTTGCTAACATAGTACTTAAGAAATAAAAATAAAATAAAATTTCTCATTTCCAGTTGTGTTCAGAATTTTATTGTGGCATTTTGAAAGATTCTTCAGTGAGTTTGTATATGTTATTATTTGTTACGTCTTTATTTTTTTCATTAACAGTTTTACCCAATTTTTTCTCCAAAAACTGAATTGTTTAGTTCCCAAACTTGAATCACTTGAAAAGCTTGCTGTATTGAAGCATTGTAATATGGCATGTTAATAATTTTCCAGGAATTATTTTTTGACTCATGAATAAATGTCACTGAATCGCTAAATTGATTTGAACAGTATCAAAAGTAATCTGAAGTTGGACTTTTCCATCCTGTCACAATAGATAAATACCCATATAAAATGCAGAATTAAGCAATATGGCATGTACTGGCATAGGTTTAAAAGTATTTGTCAACATAAAATTTCCCTTCCCTTTAACTTAATGTATAAGCAATTGGCTGTATTATAATGATGGCTTTTTATTGTGATAAACTGAAACTGATATTGCTTTATAATGTTTTTCTTCCCTCTCCTTTTTTAATATCAGATTATTTTAATGGATCGAAAGATTAGGAAAGAGCAATTTCTTCAGTTACAGAAGTTTATTCAAGCAGATTCCAATGAAGAACACGAAAATGGTAAGGTTTAGCTATTATTTAGTAACATTATAAAAATTATATAGTTATTTGAACACTTTATTTATGTATGGTAACAGTGATGGTGCAAAAAAATGATTACAAAAGGGATTCCATTCTCCCAAATTAATTGTAATGAAAGAAATCTTTTTAAAAAAGATAGGTTTCCATGGAAAAATTGTTTACTTTTTCACCAGGCTTCTTTTAAAAATTATTCTATTGTATTAGATATTTTGTAGATAAATGGGAATTCAGACTTTTAAAGTTTGTTGCCTGCCTTGCTGCTTTAGGATTATAACTGTGTAGAGACATTAGGTATTTTTTGAAGCAGGCAAGATGAAAAATTGGCAACGCCTTCACCGGTAATCGAAATACGGACCTCTGAAATACCGGCTCAGTGTGCTGACCACTACACCACGAAGGCGCAAGAAATACCTTATAACTGCAACTTAAATTTATCATTATACAATTTTTGCAGAAAGAACTGGGAAAGCATTAGGATGTTTAACACTCATATGTATCAAAGTGTAATATCCTAATAAAATACATGGAAAATATTTATACGTATCTTGAAAATATATTAATACCATGAAAATATAACATGGTCTGAAAAGTAATACATAAGTCTCATAGTTACTGCTATATTTCTTCCCCTATTTTCATGAATTTTCTCTTTTAAAAATAGAGAAAGGAATATTATATGGAGTGTACTAGGAAGAAACAGATAGATTAAGAAGTGCATATGAAGAGATGTACTGATATTAACATATTCTATATTTCTGGAGTCAATATAGCTTTGAATAATATTTTTATAATTCACACACTATACTTTGCTATAACTTTATGTATACTGAAAAAGCAGGGTGGAAAATAGCTGAGTAAATATAATAATTTGAAAATAAGTAATAATATACTGAAATTAAATATAATATTTTGAAAAAAATTTTATGACAAAAAAGGTAAATAATAAAAAGTATTTGAAAATTTAAGTCCTTTTTAGTATTTTATATCACATTTTAGACTTTACCCTCTTAAAAGTCTTAAAGAAGGTCAAGAACAATACACATTTATTACTTTCTGTTGATAATAATCCAAATTATGTAATTATTTTTGGTTCATTATCGGAAATCATGAAGAGGAGAGCTCACTACTAGCTTCATTTAATGTTACAGCAGTTAATATTGATTTTACTAGAGCTGTGCATATTTGAAATATAAATAAATATATTATTATTCTTCATATATATATAAATCTTAAAATTTTCTAGAGGCTTCTTAAATTGATATGATTCAAATTCATCTGTAAATATGTTTTAAATTTATTAATTCATTTTCTTTATTGAGATTGTCAATTAATATTATTTCTAATGCTTCATAAAAATGAAAACTTATTATGTTTACTGATAATAATGACCATCAGTTTATTTCAGAAGATTAATATCTTGAGTAGAATCTATTATTATTGATTAGTATTTGAAATCCTTAACTGTTTTTGTAGTATTTTATTTTAGGAATGAAAAGATGAATTCTATCCTAATTTTTTTCTTTCATATTTGTCAACATAATAAAATTAAATTTTTCAAACAGTCATTTAATTTTAGAATTTTTTAAACTCTTCTATGTAATTTGTCAAAATTATGTAATTTAAGACATTCTTCAATAACTTAATTTATAGTATTGTGCTATGCATGTCCAGTGCCTTGTTCTTGAGATCATATAATTATTGATGCTATTTAGCAACTTCAGGCCTGTTTTTAATATCTTTTATTTACAAAATCATTCCATTGTTTTAAAATTTCAAGGGGTTTTATTTGTTTCATGAGTATAAAACACAACTGGTATTATTCTGGTGTGTTGTCATGTTGCAAACGAGATCTTTCTTTACAGTTTGAGAAGAAATAAATATTTAAAAAAATATTTATATACAGTAGACTCCCGATTATCCGCGTTTTTTTTTTTTACAAGCGTAAAGCAAAGAAAATAAAAATTTCACAAAACTGAGCGAAACGTTAAATTTGCTAACATCGTGCTTATTTATTGCAAAAATATCCCAGGCCTTCTCGGAACCTTACCCCCTCGGCCCCTATGATGAGTAAGTGATTTCTTACTCACGCTTGCAGTGCCCGCTCCACCGCCCTTTCTCGTCTTAATCTTACTGACACGTTCACTTCCTTTCACTCGCCATTGTTAGTTTAAGCCTAATAGTGTTTGTGAACCGGTCCGAGTTAAATTTCTTATCTTTTTATTGTATTCAGTGCTTGTGCTTTTTGGTTTTGTGTTTTTGTTACTCATTTAAAATGTCAGGAAAATGAAAGAAGGTTGTGTTGACGATAGCGCCAAAAACTAGAATTAATTTCCAAAGTAGCAAACAGCGCTACAAGGTAGCATATGGAATTGGATTACAGAATCGCGGAAACAACAGTGCGTGACATTCTAAAGCAAAAAGACAAACTGGTGAACTTTGCATCAATGTCGGATAGTGCTTCCGCAAAGAAAACGCGAAAAAGTGTGAAAGGTTCTACCTTTGATGAGCTAGACACGGCATTGACAGAGTGGTTAGCTGAAGTACGAAAACAGGGTACTCCTGTAAATGGTCCTATCATTGCGGCGAAGGCAAAAACCTTTTTTGAGTTGTTAGGCCTGAAAGGAAATTTTGATGCATCTTTTGGCTAGTTGACTCGTTTTTTTAAGCAGCGACATGGAATTCGAGAAATTGGACTTCATTGGGGAGAAACTTAGTGGTGACCAACAAGCAGCCGACGATTTCCACCATGAATTTGAAGAATTTGTTTTAAAAAAAGAGCTATCTTTTGATCAAATTTACAAATGCCAACGAATCGGGACTTTTGTCGACAAATCGGGAATCGCACTTTAGCATTTGAAAATGAAAGTAAAGCGGCGGGTTATAAAAAGCAGCAAGGAAAGGATCACTATCATGTCTTGCAGTAAGGCTACCGGTGGACATAAACTTAGAGACTTGTTGTCATTGGAAAGTTTAAAAAAAAAAAAAAAAAAAAAAGAGATCTTTCAAAGGCACAAGGATAGAAAATTTACCCGTTGTTTACTTTAACCAAAAAAAAAAAGGAATGGATGGACCGAAACATTTTTCAAGAATGGTTCGAAAAAAATCTTTTTTCTTCAAGTGCGTAAACATCTTAAATCGAAAAGCCTGCCTGAAAAAGCTGTGCTATTGATCGACAACACACTTCTCAGTCAGCAACAAGCATGTTAAAGTCTTCTGATGGACAAATTTTTGCAAAGTTTCTCCCCCCCCCAAACATTACTGAGCTAATCCCAACCCATGGAACAAGTAGTCATTGCAACAATGAAGAGAACATACAGAACCAAGCTGCTAATGACCAAAATTGAAGAAGGTTATCTCTGAAAGAGTTTTGGAAACACTACACAATCTTGGACGACAGCATCTACGATATTGCATCTGCATACAACTCAGTGAAACCGTCAACCCTCATAAAAATTATGGAGAAAACTCATGCCTAATGTTGAAGCCAACAACAACCTAACCCCTTTGAGTTGTGAAAGAAGAGAAGGAAGCTATAGAGACGCCCACAGCAACTTTTGCCGATATGGTGAAAACAGTTCCGAGTGGTGAGAACGTTGATGCTGAAAGCATTAACGAGTGGTTGGAGTGTGACGTCAACGAACCTGACTTTGAACGCTTGACAGATGACGAAATTGTGAAGAAAGCAAGGGGAGAGACCGAGAATGAAGGACAGTGAAGTGAAGACGAAGAAGAGCCCACTGTGCATATGCAGAAGACTCATGAAGTGGCTTTGCACAAGTCTACAGATTACTGAGCTATTTGGAAGAACAAGACGACACGGAGTTGGCCGAGAAACTTATGCTACGAAAAATGCAATCTCGGATCAAGAGAAAATGCTTCCAAAGCACAAAGCAAACACAAATGACTGATTGTTTCAAAAAGGTTAGTTTTACAGTTATGCTTTTGTAATTACATAATACATTACAGTATTAAAACAGAACATATGTATTAATTTTTCTGTGTATCCTTGACGCCTCTCGTAAGTATACAAAACACTTTTCTATTTTCATTAACAAAATGCATTTTAGGATAGTTTTGAGTGATATACTAAAATATTAAGCGTTAGTTAAACATTTCCTGCTGTTTATTTTATTTTATATAAAACGATTTTTCAAAGTTGGAATGACTGTTTTTTCTTTTGCTATATCCGTTTTTAGCTTTTTTTCGGATTATCTGCGATTTTTGTTATCCGCGGCGGCCGCACCACCCAATTCCGCGGATAATCGGAGTGTACTGTATTATTTTAGCATTTGCTTTGTTTTGACTTGAGATATAATTATTATGATTTTTTGACTTATAAACTAAAGTCTAGCCCAAACAAATAGATATTGAATATTTTGCTTCTGCCTGAGTTTAATAAAAGAATTTATTTTTTCTTGCTTGTTAATTTTTAATTTTCAGAATTTGTATAATTAAATATTTGCTGTGTAATTTGTATTTGACATTATAGTTTTGGTAATTTTATGAAGAATATTGAAAATAATCAAGCTTCTCCAGAATATATTACACAGTTATCTTTTATTTTTTTATGTAATTCCTTTATCTTTTATAAGTAGCAAAAAGCTAAAAGAGTAACTTAAAGAAAACACTGATTGTATATAGCATTTATAATAGTATATTAATTTGTAGGATGTGCATTCACCAAGCAAAACATCAGGTATATCTACTTAATAAGATCTAAGTCCACCTCTAGATTGAAAAGCAGTTGTAATATGCTGCAGTGTCAATGCCACCAGATATTAGAGGGTTACCAGTCTTGTTATTGTACTTGCTGTGCCACTGATCACATCTCCTTCTAACACTTGAGTCTCGAAACGAGGCCCTAAGATTGAGAAAACGTGGCCTTAAGATTGATTCCAAAGAGCTTCTATTGAATTCAGATATGGGAAATTGCAGGGCACATAGAATCTGGAGAGTTTTCCCTCTAATATTTCTAACTGATTGCAGCTTAATGAGGTGGACTGCCCTGTTGCCAGTCCTTGAAAAATGCACAACAAACATAAGTGGATGCAGGTAATATTAATAAGCGAGAGCAATCTGGATCTGGCAGTATTTTCAGTTTTTTGCAGACTTAGAAAGGGACTTAATATATGCCTTAGAAAAAGGCATAAAAAGGCTCACAGAATTCTGAAGCCACTACTATCTTAAATTCTGCCACTGCCATAATGATGGGCCTAGGTTCATATCCCAGAAAACGGATGGATGTTCATAAGCATGTAGTATCTGTGGGCAAGAAGGCCCTCAAAATATGTGGCAAGCTGAAAGTCCTTTTGATTGATTGTTCGTAGAAGAATGGTGGGACCCTCAGACCACTTTCCGGGATGTTCTCCTTCAAAATTGCGGCAAGAGCTTCTGAATTAGTATTGTGGGACTGTATCTGTGTAACCTATATTGAAATACTGGTGTCTTGCTCACTTATACTGTACTAGAAAGCCCGGCAGTCATAAAAAATGACTGCTGTTCTAGATATTATAAATTGTAATTAAAATGATTTGTGCAAAGGTGTCTGCTAATTCAAACTGAATTACCCAGGGCAGGCGATGAGAATGCCCCTTTGCTTTCTGCCCCACGGGATTTCCCCCTTCTACTTGCTTAATTGCTTAAAGTAGAGTGCAATAAAGGAAATCAGCGGTGGTGCATTTCTTTAAAGCCACCGCTAGCTCAATAAATAAAGGTGATTTAAATAATAAAATGTTAATTCACATGTCAAAGATCTCTTTGTACACAACATTTCTTGTGTAGATCTTTTCATAATTTTTAAGCTCGCCTTGCAGAGGACCATCCATTATTTTTAATTTTACGTCCATTCTTTCACAAACTCTTGAACAGGCAACATAAAGTAGACTGTGTCCAAATGCAGGCTCAGGTAAAAAAATGCCAACACGGCATTTGGCCCTGAGACTTATTGATGGTCATAGCAAAGGCAAGTTTTACAGGAAATTGTCTACATCTCAGTTGAAATGGCAACTGCACCCCATTGGCTAGTACAGTTACGCTAGCAACCAATAAACTATCGGCGACAAACAGACACTTAAGCCACATATAATAAAGATATTTATTTATTTTTTCATCGTTGCCGGTTGTATATTTCCAAATTCTATTATACATAGATGTTAAATTTCTTTATTAAATGTTAAATGCATGTGCTCTTGTATTTTAATTTTCCCAGCTTAGCTTTCTCATAATTTTCGTCATGTTCTGCACTGCACGGGGAATAAAACAAGTTACAGTTACGCAAGCAACCAATAAACTATCGGTGAAAAACACTTAAACCGCATATATATAAGATCTATCCTCTTACTATATCGCTTCAGGCTCCATCTTTTTACCTAAATGTAATCTATGAAACTTGCAGACCTTGACAATATGTACTGTCACCAGTGGCTATTTGATTTTGGCTTCTGTTTCAATTGCTATTGATAAATTGGTAATAAACCCTTGGTGCAGTTGTTTTTAAAAAATTTAGGTTGGAGTTATCACTGACAAAACAACCTATGTGTTATGTGTTAAGCATCTAATAGTCAAAATATTTTTACCAATTCCATGAATTACTTAAGATAGTTATTTGGTCCCAAAGGATTGGTATGCATGAAATTTTGATATCTTCAGCAGATGGTAAGTAGATTTTCCATATTTGGTGTATGTACTAAAAGTTTTGATTATGAATTGTATGTTGTGGTAATCATGGAAATTGTATTTCAGGTGTAGATGAAGACGAATGTAATTCTAGTGGATGTGAAACAGTTGTATTCTCTGAAATTTCAAATGGGGGTAATATGAAGAACGATGGCACTTTGATATCATCTATGGAAAATACAGTTGAGGAAAAATGTCAAGAACCATGTTTATCTCCGTTGCTGGAAAAAGATAAAAATTTGCAAAAAGAGTTTGACGATGTTACTGCATCTAAAAAAAATCATTGTATCATCGATACAAAAGAAACATTCATAGATTCATCAGGTGATAAATGTCAGTGTTTACATTCCTCTGGAAATAAAAAAAATGTTATTGGTAAATGTGATTTGGAAGTTAGTTTATTTACTGATAATTCTAGCATTGAAAGCACACCCACAAATGACGATTGTCAAGAAAATAATATTCTGGAATTCAAGAAATCAGAGGTAGAACTTTCTGAAAATCAAGTTACGACTCTTAGTGATGTTGATAAAAATAACTTTAAATGTGTTAATATGGTAAATTACCAGAGTAATATTTTGACAGCTGTTAATGATAGTATCACAGAAAGTGAGAAAAGCATACCTTATGATTCTGAATTAGATGAAGGTAAAAGATCAAATTCTTTTGAAACTGGAACTAATTTATCAAGTACAGAGCATAATTCTGATAAACTGGAAGGAAACTGCTCTTATGAAGAAAAGATTCAAGCTGCAAAAATTGTAATTCATACTCGTAATTTTAGAGAGTAAGTATTTACAGATTATACTGTGTAATTTGAAAATGAATAGTATCTATGCATGAAATTCTCATACAAAATGTGCAAAGCTAAATAATCAAATAATTATTGTAATATGTTATTATTAAATAAGGAGATCTAAGAAAAATTATACTTATTTTTCTGTAAATAAAACTGAATATCTCATGGTTGATCTGTAATTATTTTATATTGATAGTCTTCTAGTTAAGAAGTTTTGCAATAGAATCTTTGTATTTCACTCTGATTAACTTTATTTAATCATTGTGAACAAAAAATGGATGTGGCAAAAGGAGCACAGAATCTTGAATTTGCTGATTTTATTTGAACTATGCGTAGTTATAGAGGACTTTAAAAGCAAAGCATTTATAATAGCTTAACTCGCACATTTAAGAAATAAACAAGAAAAGAAAATCTAAAGTTCTAAATAACTTTAGTCTTATTTGTATATCTGTTGTTTGCTTAATCAAATAGGGCAAAGTATGTGAGGATTGTTTGCCTAATATGAGAAATACCTTTCTAGAGAAGTTTCAAAGGGTAACCTATTCATATCAGAGTCATGCATAGGGAAAACCATGAAAACACCCATGCAGCTAGCCAAATCGCTGGGATTTGAAACTGAATTGAACTTCCAGTATTCAGTGACCTTATCCACTCAGGCTTTGTGTATTACTTAATTCGACTGATTGTTAAAACCTAATCTCACATTCCTCTAATTCTTAAGATACAGGAGTTTGAAACCATAAGTACATTACTCAAAACATACGGATTGTAACTCTTGTTATGCATGTTATTTATATATAAATTTATTCATAAAATTTATTTCTAAAGGAGTGACTCTGTTATGTAATAGCTTGAAGAAAATATTTTTTTCTTTCTAAAGTGATTTCAAAACTTTTATCACAAGGTAGCTTGTAACTGCTCAATAATGGAAAAACATGATACAAGAAAGCACCATCAAAATTCACACTTTGATGCAGAGAAAACTAAATTGTTTACCTTCTACATTCTAAAGTTTGCATGGTTCACATTAGCGTTAGCAAAAAGCGAGGTGCTAATAAATATTGACAAAATTTATTTTTTTCCTCCTTAAAATTTTAGAAAAAAATGATAGGCAGTCATTCATTCAATATATATAATGCCAAAATATTTTATGCTTTTAGTTTTTTCATCCACATGTTTAACTTAGTAAATCAGTACAAAAAAATGCAACAAGTTAGATCAAAATAAATATAAAAAAATCTGAAAGATTTCAGATTTTAAATTACGTCCAAAGAAGCCTTTTTTTAATGTTTTGTGTGTTACCTTTATTTATTAAATATCATGTTCTTTGCACTTAAGCCATAAATTTCAGTTCAATAGCAATGTCGCAAAATAATTTCAAAATGAGCCTGCCTATCTTTAGAATTTCCAATACACGGTTCCGCACGCTGGAGATAAAAAGGTTTATTTTTTTTCTCCCGTAGATTGTTGCCATTGCTCGCTTTCAAATCGTTGTGTTACTCAAATATTTGTTAAAGTTTTACAAAATATGAAATCGATAATAAACTCCAAATTTCAAATTTGGTCTTCCACATGCCCGTATTCATAGGAGGATTACGTGATTCAAAATTCGATGGCTGTATGTACCGTTGTTTTATCACAATGCGAGAAATATACATACATTTATGCAGATTTTTCATTATTTAATTCTTCAAATATAATGCTGGACGGATTCGTAACATTTGGTGGCAACAATTTGAAAAGTGAAATGAACATTTATAGTGATTCAGCGCAAAATCGCAAAACGAAAACAATAGTCCTTCAGGGGCAAAGCCCCTATGGACTAAAAATTAACTGTTCTTAAAATTTTTGTGTTGCATCATGTTTCACCTTATACTTTTCAAAATGCATTTTATGAATAAATTGTTATGCAAAATAGCATAAAGTAAAAAATGACTGACATGTTTGGAATTGTGGGTTTTTTGTCTCTATCCCTCATACATTACCATTAAATGTTTTGAGGCTTCAAAGACCATGTAAACCAAATAACGTGTATGTTATTCAAAATTTCTGAATATTTCCTGCTTATTTCTGACAGATGCTTGCTATGTGTTTGCAAATGTATGATTTTGATGTTCCCTATAGTTTATGCAAGACTCTAGCAAAACTGGCAAGTTCAGTGTCATGTTGTCTACTTTAAATCATTTACATTAATATTTGTGATATTCAGTGAACAAAAAAAAAAAAAAAAAAAAAAAAAAAAAAAAAAAATACTGAATTTGCATTATTATAAATATTTTTATGATACATTAATCATAATAAATAATTGATATTTTAAACACAATAATTAATCAAACATAATTTATAAGTAATTGCAGTTATATAGTTTTTCAGTGTTAATGTAGGGAATCATAAAATAAAATAAGAACAAAACTAACATTGGATTAAAAACATGTTGCTTGGAATGCCAGAAAGAATCGAAATTGATATGGCTCAATTTTTCCTCCATAAAGGAAAGTTAAATGAGCAAAAGTTACATGAATAATTTTTTATTCTTTTTGTATAATCTGTACATATTATCTATGGTCTTTCTTTCCAGCAGAATTGAAATAATTAAATATTTATGAAAAATAATAATAACAAAAGCAGCGCAGTTAGAAATTATGAACAAAACAACTAGAAGAAGTTTCTGAAATAGTGTGAAACGAAAAAGCAATATTGAGAGACTAACATAAAGCACTGAGTCAAACAGAATTCACAATCAATGCTTTTTGATATTATTAAATTAGATAAAGCAGATTTTGTAGAAAAAGAAAATTCGATTTGTCCCATTTTACTTTATTTCTCTGTAAATGAATGTCTTGTTTTTGTCTACGGATCAAGTCAATTTCCTGCAAATGTATTTCTTGAACATGCTGCAGTGTAATTGAGACTATTTTCTTGAAGTGGTTGTTAATGTTGATGTTCTAGAATGATTGTGAATTTTAATCTAAGTACCTGTTCTGTCCTGCTTTAAATTAAATATGTTAGTTACATTTAAAATAATAAAGAATATTTCATGAGAAAATTTTAAGATATAAAGGTATATAAAATATTTCTGTTTCTGATAAAAAGAAGCTTACAGTTAAAAATTTTTTAAAAATCAGATTTAAGCTCTTTATTGCAATGCAACTTGTGCATTTTTAAATGAAAACCTCATAATATGCTAATTAATGTACACTTTTGATTTCCTTTTATTCTTATAGCAATCCTGTATTTCTTGGTCAAGTTAAATGAAAGTGTATTACTTCTATGCTCAAAAGTATAGTATTAGATTTAAGGTATACTAATTTTCTGCCTAGCGTTAATTTCTCTTACTTTTATATTTAAAATTTTCTTTTTATGATAAGAAACATAAGTCCCACTTTTTTTTGGTTGAATTTATTTTTTAAAGCTCCATCATAATTTGCCATTTACTTGCTTACTACATGACCATACATTTGATACAGTGATATTGGAGCAAAACTGTTTTAAAAAAAATATTAGGGATAACAAAGCAAATATAGTTAAATGCATACTGAAGTTTGACTAAAAAAAAACCAAGTGGTGTTATGTTACATATAATACCACCAAAAAAAAAAAAAAAAAAAAAAAAAAATTCTCAAATTTTAATCTTATTTCATATAATATTAAAATACAAATAGATATATAAACACAAAATTTCATTAATGTGAGTATGTTAAAATCGGTTAAAAACTTAATTAAAGATTAATTTAAAGAAACTCGTGAAAAAGTGTTAAATAATTATTTAGTGAACATTAGTGCCTAATTATATTACAATATCTGCATAAATAACTTCTAATTCATGCTGTGTCCTGTTTTGAATTCTAATAAATAAAATTTTATAAATCTCATTGCTTGGCAAGCTTCAAATATTGAAGAAAAAAATTTCATGCTTGCTGTCATTTTTCAGTATAAATTTGCAGAAAGGATATTTTGATATATTTTGTTATGTGTAGTTGATGGTATTAATGTAGTTTTATATAACTTACCCATTGCCACAGTGAACCAAAGTGGCTCAATTTTAATAAAAATTGGTACTTAATCTTATCAGTGAATGTTTTTTTATTTATTCATTTGTAAACATTTTCAGGTATTGTGATCATCTCATAAGTAAAGATATAGATGACACTGTGCATGTTTTGTTGGAAGATCTCGTTCGTTTCCAAGACAGAATGCATCAAAAGGATCCTGTCAAGGTATACTTGTTCACTACAAAAAAATTGATTAAAAATTACTTCTTCATCTTTTTTTTTTGTTTGTTTTTTTTGAATTTCTCAACTATCAGTTATAAATACAGTGTGTTTTTTAAAAATATGTATATATATATATATATCTAGCAAATTTTAAGGGGTGTGATAGAGCCCGGGAAAAAAAAAAAAAAAAAAAAAAAAAAAAAAAAAAAAAAAACTTCTCATTGTAGAATACATGGTCACATATTATGCAATTAAGCAATGAGAGCACTTTCTCTCCCTATAAATGTTATCTTGTTCCTCTCAAAGACTTAAGCTAAGGTGCATATATAGAAGTGACAGTTTTCCCATGTACCATCATTATTCTTTTTGTATTAATTTTATTTTTTCATGTATTTTATGGGATATGCTTCCAGAGTAAATAAATTTTGGCTATTAGATAATGATCTCATTTCTTTAATTTCTTCCCCATTATCCTATCAGAGAGACTTTCAGCTCCAGACTTAATTACATCATATTTCTTCAATGGTATAGTTTTCATTAAACTAGGCATGTTGTATTCAGTACGATATTTGCAACTAAATTATCAGGCTTATGTTTCATGCACTATCTTTTTAATGACCGAAAATAAATAAAAGGCAAATATTATGATATATTTTCATGTTGTGAAAGGATTATGTGCGTGGGAAAACAGAAAGCATTCTTCATCACCAAGTAACTCCCTAATGTGCAACCATGCATTCTACGAGGGTTGCTATTTATATTTCTGGCCCAATAATAAAGCAACAAATGCTTGTGATTGAAATTTGTTTATTGTCTTTCAAAATATTCTCCGTGAAAATCAGTACACTTTTGCATGCGTTTGCACTTTTTCCACTTCTATTGAGGTAACTCCAAAACATGTGTTTTGAATACATCAACCGCATCTTCGGCTGTCGCAAATAGGTAACCATGTAATTTATTTTTTATGTGTGGGAATAAAAAAAGTCTTATTAGGTGCCAAATCAGGGCTGTACAGTGGATGACCCATCAAAATTTCCTTTGAGCTTATGTGTGAGAGCTCGCATTATCATGAGAAAGAATGATTCCCCTCTTCTGCTTTTTCAAATTTCTCCGATGTTTTGCGGCAAGCAAATGGTCATGTACCGTTTGGAACTGATCTGCCTTGTTACTCTAATTCCAGTGTTGCCACATGACCAGTAATGCCAAAGAAACATTCAACCATTTGCTTTAATGTTCTTCTGTGAACAACTTTTGTTGGATTTGGCTCATCTTGGAAGACCCATACAGTCAACTGCTGTTTTGTTTTGGGCTCATATGCATAGATCCATGATTTTTCACCTGTGTATATGTTATGCACAGCCTTTGATGCACCTTGAACGTATTTTCCAACACTTCCTTGCACCAATTGACAAGAGCCTTCTTTTGAGCAATTGTCAGATTATGCGGGATCCAACAGGAACAAATCTTTTTTACGGCCAAATATTCATGTAATATCTTACTGTTGCTTGCCATACTAATGCCCAAAGATGCCTCAATCTCACATTATGTCATATGACGATCTTGCTTTATCAGTTCACACGCAGCAATGATATTTTCTGCGGCAAGAACCGATTTTGGACGGCCTTCACAGAATTAGTCTCAGAGCGAAAGTCAGCCACAATTGAATTCATTGTACCAGTTCTGTACAGTGCTGTAGGATGGTGCTTTATCACTGTATAAAGAATTAAGTTCATTGAAGCACTCTTGTCTTGATAATCCACGGTGCGGGTTATAAAAAATGATCGCACGAAAATATTCTCGACTCAATTCCATTTTTTTCCTGAGATGAATTTTTAATTTACTGTAAACAACACAAATCATGCTAAAGTGGGAAAAAATTCTGAAGATGTTAGGGTTAAAAATATCAAACTTTGATTGGAATCGTCTGCAGTTGCGCAGCAACACTTACTGTTGCCAAAACCAGAAATATAAATAGCAACCTTCATATAATGGAAATTTTTTCTTTTGGGGTGGGTGGGAGTATCCTCTCTTGAAATTTGTTCCATTAGTTTTGAAACACCTTGTATAATTAAGTTAGATGTGATGTGAGCTAGATAAAAATAGTAATAAAGGATAGAATACCTTGTTAGAATATTTGTTTGGTATGGTATCAGATATAAAATCTTCATCGCTTATTAGGTGCACTTCTGATAATCATTATAATATAAAATTGTCTCATGAATTTATAAAATTTCTTGTGAAATAGGCTCGAATGAAACGCCGTTTGGTATTTGGGATCAAAGAAGTGAAAAAGTATATCAAATTGAAGAAATTGAAGTGCATTATCATGGCAACTGACATAGAAAATGTAGTAACTGAAGGTTGGTATATTCCTTTATATGCAATACTTAAATACATTGGTATTCATATATACTTTTATATGCAATACTTCAATACATTGGTGTTCATATATACCTTTATATGCAATACTTAAATATATTGGTATTCATATATATCTTTATATGTTATATTCCTTTAATGTGTTGGTCGCAAACTGGCAGCCTGCAGGCTGCATCCAACCTCCAAAGCAATTCTGCATGCTACATGAATGCATTTCAATTATTTAAAAATTTGTTGTAAATACCTACAGAGTTGCCTATACTTATAGAGACATACAGATATGTATTGAGCTTATGTGCATAGCTGCTATTAAAGAGGAAAATAATAAAATGAATAGGTTGGATCTTTGTCACTGTATACTTGTATCAGGCCACCAGTTGATAGCACTTCAATATTCCAATGTTTCTGGTTGCTTTCTAGTGTTAATATAAAAAGCTTCTATGAAACAACTTAGAAGTTCTATTGTTGGTACTTCTGTATTGTATGTACTATCCTTGAGTCATTAGTTAAATGATTAGCTGATGCTGAATAGCAGTTCATTTTGCTGTGTAGAGGGAGACAAACTTCACAGTGGCTTGATTAGACTAGACAATCAAGTCACTTGATTTTTATACTTTCCAACTGTGAAATATGGGATTTTTTTAAAAATATTTTCTCCTTCTACATTTATTACTATTCTCATGTATATCAACAGTTTTTAAATAATACACATTTTTTTTTTTTTTTTTTTCTTTTTGTGATTTCAAATTCTATATAATATAGCACATGCGACTTCACCTAATTTACAAATTAAAAATGCACAGGATATTTTTAGTCCAAAGGGACTTTGTCCCTGAAGGACTATTGTTTTCGTTTTGCAATTTTGCATTGGTTCACTATAAATGTCCTTTTCACTTTTCAAACTGTTGCCACCAAATGTTAGAGTCCTGCATTATATTTGAAGAAAATAAATAATGAAAAATCTTCATAAATGTATGTATACTTCTCACACTGGGATAAAACAATGGTACATAGAGCCATCGAATTTTGAATGACATAATCCTACTGCGAATATGGGCATGTGGAAGCCCAAATTTGAAATTGGGAGTTTGTTTTATTATCGATTTCATATTTCGTAAAACTTTAATGAATTTTTGATTAAAAAACTGAAGTATTTCAAAGCGAGCAATGGCAACATTGTACAGAAAAACATTTTTATCTCCAGCGTACGGGACTCTGTATCGGAAATTCTAAAGATATGCTTAATTTAAAACTATTTTGTGATATTGCTCTTGAACTGAATTTTATGGTTTAAGTGTGAAGTGGTTTAAGTGTTAATAAATAAAGGTAGCATACAAAATATTTTAAAAACGCTCCTTTGGACGTAATTTAAAATCTGAAACCTTTCAGATTTTTTTATTATTATTTTTTTTTTAATTAGTTTAATTTTTAACCAATTCTGCAATAAAACAGAAAAAGGAAAAATCAGTTTTGCTTTATATTAAATTACATTACATACATACCAAAAAAGAAATATTTAAAATGACAAAAATTTTTAATTAATTGTAAATATTACAAAGTGTTTATATTGGCTTTAGAAATAGAGCTAGCTTTGTTGTTTTTTATTCACTCATTATTATTCTGCAGAGGGTTTTTTTTTTTTTTTTTTTTTTTTTGTTTTTTGTGTGTGTGAGCTACAAATTTTGAATCATGACTCCAAACATAATCCAACTTGACATTCTTCACACCAAATGTGTCATTATATATTTTCTTTCTATTTTATCGTATATCTTTTTTTGTATTGTATTTTATGTGACTCCAATCAGCCTGTGATGTTTGAACATTTAAATAATTGTATTGCTCTTTTTCAGTATGAGGACATTGTTAAAAAGTACTTGAGAGCCTATAAACTGATGGCTTAAGTGCTAATGTTTGGCATTTTTAGTCCAAAGGGATTTGAATCCCGAAGGACTATTAGTTTCGTTTTGGCATTTTGCGTCGGACTCATAAATGTCGGTTCACTTTTCAAACTGTTGCCACAAAATGTTAGAGTCCTGCATTATATTTGAAGAAATTAAATAATGAAAATCTGCATAAATGTATGTATATTTCTCGTATTGTGATAAAACAACGGTACATAGAGTCATTGAATTTTGAATAACGTAATCCTCCAACGAATATGAGCATGTGGAAGACCAAATTTGAAATTTGAAATTTGTTTTATGATCGATTTCCTATTTTTTAAAACTTAAACTTAAACTCAGTGAATGCAGCTAATGCTCATCACTGGAATGTTTTGAAAGAATATTTGTTGAAAATTTCCTAAGTGGCATCTAATTTGAAATCAAGGAGAGTTTTTTTTTTTCCCCTCAATACTATAAATGAATTCATAGTGCTCTATCCAATAAGAAGCATAAACTTTTCTTACTAAGATTGTTGCTTTCGTGTGTTTGGGTAATATGACATATCTACTGCACTCATTGTAAAATTATAATCATAAATCACTTTTGGGCTTAGTTTTTCTTTTGATGTTCCAGAGTGCAGTAAATCAGATGAAGAATTATGTAAAGAAATAAGGTTATTTAGTACTTTTTAATCCTCTCACTTCAGGACTATCTTTCTATACTGATATGTAATGCATAGTCCTTTCTTATGTTTTCTTTTGCAAAACCTAGAGGTAAATCTTTTCTATTACTTCGAAATATACCATATATATGTGTTTTCTTTTGAATAAGTGTATCTGCCAAGCATGGAGACATACAATAATTGTCAACATTTATACAAAATCCTTTGTTTAGGAATTATAAAAGGTGAAGCACAACAGCATTTGGTTGGGTATGTAATGATTATTCCAGTAAAACTTTTTCCTGTATGCAAAAGGAAAGCATATTAACTAGACAAGGCTTTGCATACCATAAAAATTTTTATTCCATGCCGGGACCGTTTCAAAGGAATATGCTGAGAATGCTTCTGTGATAAACAACCCTTGTAAAGCATTAGTGATTCATGAACATAGTGAGCTGTTCTTTGAGATTAACTATTTAACAAAACAGGTTTCTAATGTGCTCAGTAACATCATAAACTTTTCACAATGTAGGGCAAGGATGTGTTGATAAATCAAAATTTTTATTATCAATAAAATGAAAATGTCTGACCCCCCCAAAAAAAATTTGCCAAGTCATAATTTTTGAAAATATGTTTATAGATTGTCTTTTCACCCAATACCAATGATAATTTCGCATTTCTACTACACCTTGCAAAAATTTGCAAAAATAAAAGAGCACAAAATAGCATTATTTCTCCAACTTTCTTTGAATCCATGATTTATACTTCCTTACATTACCTGAGGGCTGTGAAAAGCAATTTTTTTTTTTCCATTTCATTGTTTACCAAATTCAATAAATCTTTGTACACAAATAAGTTAAAAAATTCCAAGCCTAAATTTTTTAATTAGCCTTGAAATTTCAAGGTTAAAAAAATTTCACGTATATTTGTTTGTACTTTAGAATAGCCAGAAAATGAAAATCTAGGGGGAACACGAGGGAGGTTATTCATGTTTATTTCCATCTATGAATGAGCATTCTGAATTCCTCCATCATCATCATCATCAGAATCTTTAAATTCACTTCCAAATGAATATCTTTCCAAAGAGCTTTCACTATCATCCCCAGTATTCAAATTTATGTAATAATCAGAATCTTAATCACTATCTTCATTATCAAGATATTTTTTGTTTGCTATTCACAAGAGTAATGCTTCTGATACTCAGATATGTTTATCGTGCAAAAGACAAAAGACAGCATGTGAGAAAAGATGTTACATCTTTGACATACTAACAATGTATAATATTTATTGCATTACTAGGAAACTCATTTTTGAATCTTGAATTATAGGAGGTTTAAATGATGTTTTGGGGGCTATAAAATCTTCAGCTGCTGATCACCATGTTCCATGTATTTATGCCCTCAGCAGGAAATGTTTAGGTAAAGTGTGCCACAAGCCAGTTCCTGTAAGTTGTATTGGTGTTTTCAACTATGAAGGATCAGAGGTAAATAACTTCAGTATACTTTTGTGAAATTATCCCATTTCATTAAGTTTTATCTGTTAGACATACATTATTTTAAAGATTTTGTTTCTAAATTCCATACCATTTATCTGTTTATCACTCTAATATTGAAATTAATCATGATATCATATACAGTCAAAAGTCGTTAATTCGGACACCCATAATCCGGAATGATCTACAATCCGGACCTCAAAGCTAAAATCTTTCTGCGCATGCGCCGCGTTGACGCATGCGCATAAGCGTTTACGCGTGCGTGCAAGACTTTTACAACTGCGCATATGCGTCTGCGCAAGCGCAGAATACGTTTTTGCGTGCGCGTTTAATGTATAACGGACGGTATAAGCTAAAATTATCTAATTATCTATTTAAGTTAACGTTGATGATTGCGTTGTTCCTTAATCTTCGAATTGGATCCGGATTATTATTTTTTGCAGACTGAAAGAGCAATTTTATAAAATTAAGCTTGAACTTTCGATTATGTCAAATAGAATTTCTGATGCTGGAGCTCCCAAAGGATCTACAAAACGAAAGTATGAATCAATGTCCATCAAACAAGAAGTGGAATTGCTACAAAAAATGGATAAAGGCATATCCTTTGTTTATCTAAGCCGTTCCGAAATCTGTTCATCAATTTCATGCTGCTCTGCGCCATGGAGGTAGGAAAGGAAGGAGGTGCCCACCGGCGCTAGAAGTGAAGCACTGCTTTGAAGCTTGGGTCACCAGATGGGGTGTTCTTTGTTTACATTCAGAAGCTCGCTTGGCAGGGTTCTGATAGTATTTCGACACACGACAGTTCCAAAAAAATCGAAAAAGGGACACTTTCGCATGAGAGAAACATTCATAGTGTGATGGATAATAGCACTTTGTATAGTTTAGTGACATTTACGCAAAAATCACATTTTGGTTATCTTTCGATAACTAACAACAGCGATTTTGATTATGAATTTGTTTTATAAAATTCTAAGCTGTTGAACTACAAAAATATAGATTTTAAGAAAAATGTTATGCTTAAAGAATTAAAAACACCTTACGGTACATTTAAAATTGTATACGTCTTTCGATACCCTTCATAGAGTATTCGCTACTTTTATTTTATTTTCCAAATGCCAAAATGTTTGAAATAAAACAAATTTTTTTCACATCCATATATTATTTAACATGTACCTTTTAAAATTTTTTAGAGGAGAGGCTTTACTGCTCCCCATTTTAAACTCATCGTTTAATTTTATATATCTGAAAAATAATCACTTTGCCCTTACACGTTTTACTTATTTGGGTTAATTAAAAATAAAATTACCATCAAATACTGCAATCCTCGTCAAAATTAATAAATATACACACAGATATGCCAATAAGTTAGCTTTCCCTTGATACTGTGAAGAAAGTACTGTGAAGAAATCTAATTATTAAATGTATCTTAATTTATAATGATTATAAATGTTATCTAAATATATAATATTGAATTGTAAACATAAATTGAAATCCTGTTGACAAATACGTTATAAAACTATTTAAGTAAGAATTGTTCGTATTGAAAAGCAATCTGTTAAAAGGTATTGCAAAGCAAATGCTATGAGATGCGCACTTAAGAACGTAATAAAGAGTTTTGGAATATGTATTGTGAAATGAAGGGTAAAAAAAAAATCTGGTAAGTATAATTAAAAGAATTATTCCCCTTACATTTTATAATAACTCAGTTACAAGTTTTAAATAATACTTAAAAAAAAAAACTTATTTTATTAACTTTCAGAAATCTTCAGAGAAAGTCAAGTACTATTTAAAGTATTTCGCTAATTCCTAATAATTCTCTAATTTAAAATGAACCGAATAGAGCATTAATTATAAATTGGCATACATTTTTCGATTTAAAAAATGCCTCAGAAGCCAAAAAATCATGTCATATTTAAGAAAGTATTTTAGGAAGAAACTCTATAAATTGAAAAGAAATAATGCATAATTTTAATATTAATAATACAATAAACTTTGATCTTAATTTTTGTACTTCAACCGAATAAAATCGAATTACCTTAATTTTTTTTCCAATGTAATTAACGAAAACTTGTGAAAATATTTCATTCAAATTAAACCATTCTGAGAAAATTGTCCTGTGAAAAGTATAGCATTTAATTCCGTTCAAAATTAAATGTTGTTTTCATATACTTAGGACTCTGAAGAGCGGTAGAAAAAGAAAATATATACATTTATAGGTATATTTACAACGTAATTACAAAATATTTACATCCGAACGCGTCAAATCCCATTGAACTCAATGGTAAATGACCCAATGTTTTGGTCACCACGTGGGGGGTAATGTTACCCGCGTCCGTGATTATCCTTAAGTCACACGTGCCCCCTGGATGGTGCTAAATGGGTAACTGTCACAAAGTCCTGTGGCATACTGGGGTTCAGTGGGATGAGGTTTGGTCTGATGATGAGTAATCTTATGACGACCCAACGGACCGCTCTTCCCTGGGAAAACTGGCGATTGTGGGGAGGATTTGAAATTCCGAGGACCTTTGATCTGGAGAGGAGGGGTCTTGGAGGAAGCAGCCATGTAGAGGATACAGGAGAAAAGCTGAGTTTTGCGTCTCAGGCCGCCAGATAGTACAGGAGCCCGGGGCAGCCTAACCAGCATGTCCTGGCTGCTCTATCAGCTGGTGTATAATCTCGCCTGCCTTGTAGTTCCAGGTGGTGCCTGGGTGGGGTCCTGCATGGCAGAGCGGGGGGCTCTTCCGAGGTCACTACTGGCTGCTGAATCTGGGGCTAGCCCCTCCAAACTGGCTCTTATAGAAAATCGGAAGGAATTTTTCTCCCCCCTTCCTTCAATCTTATACCAAAATGGATGCTTAGCAATACAAAATTAGATAAAAACGCATCTTCTGAAATCCCCCACTATAACCACTGTAATTCCTTCTGAGGGAGTGAATGTACCCTCGGGTGCGGACGCTCTTCTTTTCAGGACTACAGAAACCAGAACTGCTGGTGAAAGGGTGAATGTGCCTTCGGACACGGACGCCTTGAACCCAGTGGGGATGGATACTGACTCCTCTGTCAGAAGTACTGTGCCAGATGCGCAAGCGGATGACCAGTCACCAATGACGGAGGTTGTAAATAAAAGAAGAGAAAAAAGGCAACGCCAGAAAGAGCGGAAACGACTGGAGAGGGCCATGGAAGGGATCTCGATCTCTGGGGAGAAGGGAGCGAAAGAGAAAACAGATAAAGCTGGGACCTCTGGAGCAACCTCCAAACCGGTGAGGAAGAACCATCCAAGCAATGAAGAGTCTCGTAAGAGAGAACGCATTGCTGGTGACACCCCGGAAATGGCCCTCAAGAAACGACGGCTATATAGTCAAGCTGCAAGAAAGCAATCACTCTGCGAATCGTCTGCAAGGATGATTCCAGAGACATAACATCGGTGGATTCAGATTTCATCACCTCTATAATTGATGACCGAATTATCGATGGCTCTATAACCACCTGCAGGGTCCACAAGACAGTCCTGCAGCCGAATGGCCTCAACATTGCATGTGAGGACCAGGAGACTGTGGACGTCCTGAAGACTTTAATTAATGATCTACCCGGCCCTGAAGAAAACCATCCAGGTTATCATGCCATGGCTCCCGGAGACAGACCCCCCATGAAGAGGTTTTTCGCTTGGTTTCCTGGTAACAGGTCACCAAAAGATAACATCAAGCTCCTTGATGCCTGTAACAAGGGCCTTGATGTTAAGAAGATCGCCATCAAGGCAGTTATCCCTGGAGACGGAGGTAATACCTTGGTGCTGGGAGTAGAACATGAACTTATGGATTATCTGGAGGCCCAGAATTTCAAACTTTTTTGTGGTGCCCGTGGCTGTGTACAGTTGAAGGAACCAAGGCAACAGGAGAAATCAATTCCTTCGCCCAGGGATCCTCCAAAGAAACAGTTGACGGAAGAAAGGGAGACCGAAAAGGAGTCGGAACCAGAGCTTTCTTTGGAGGCTCTGGAGAAGACATCTGAATAGGTCTCCCTTGTCACTACTTCCTTTGAAGTAGTATGCTAAGGATGCGGCTTTTAACTAAGTCTCTCCTAAAATCCTTCAGGGTAAGTTCTTTTCTTCATTTAACCTGTTTTAATGGTTAAGGTTAGTCAGTTAAACCTGCAACATAGCAGAGCAGCTTCATACAATTTAGCTGCTCAATTAGGTAAGCAAGGCACTTTTGTTGCCTTAATTCAAGAACCTTGGGTGTACAAGGGTAAAATCCTTGGTAGGCCCATGAACGCGCACTTCTTTTCGACAGAGGGACCTGATAAAAGACCTAGAACTAGCATTTACATTTCTAAAAATATAAAGGCTATGAAATTATCCCAATTTACATCAGAGGACTTAACTGCTATTGTAATTAAGGACATAAACAGTTCACTGAGAGGAAACATTTGTTTTTGCTCGGTTTACATGGCTTATGACCTTAACATTCCGCAAGAATTTATAGATCTTGTGAGCTTCTGTGAAATAAACAATATTCCTATGGTTATTAGTGGTGATGTTAACGCTCACCACCTGTCATGGGGCAGTTCTGATACTAATCCTAGAGGAGAAAAACTCATGGAATTTATAATGAATACCAACCTAACTTGGGTAAACAGGGGAAATCGCCCCACCTTTGTTAACAGAAGAAGAGAAGAAGTCATTGACCTCACATTAACTTCTTCTGATATTTATAACCTTATTGAGAATTGGCATGTAAGTGACAATCCCTCACTTTCTGACCATCGCCTTATACAATTTTGTATTAGAGATGAAATTCCAGCTGAATATTTCAGAAACATTAAAAACACAAATTGGGACCTTTATAAGGATTTCCTGGTTTCTAATGTCATTAACCTTCAGGTTTTAGACAATAATTGTACAGTCGAGGAGCTTGATATTCAAGCAAACAATTTGACAAATATCATTATTGAATCTTATCATGCATCATGCCCTCTCAAACGAAGGAAGTACT